ATGGAAGGAAGGAGGGAGATGAGATTGAGGAAGGAAGGAAGGAAGGAAGGAAGGAGATGTGATGAAGGAAGGAAGGAAGGAAGGAGGGAGGGAGATGTGATGAAGGAAGGAAGGAAGGAGATGAGAATGAGGAAGGAAGGAGATGAGGTTGAGGAATCCCACCCCTTCTTCACACCTCCTTTTCCCTCCTTTTCTTGAAGGTTCAGCGAAGAAGGGATGGAAGTGATGGAAAGGCTCATCTACCTGTACCGCAAGTTCAGCCAGCTGAACGTCAGCAACGAGGAATACGCCTGCATGAAGGCCATCAATTTCCTCAACCAAGGTGAGCGGCCGCAAGGATGGGCTTTCGTCCTGGCCCGGAAGCTCTTGACGGTCCTGTTCCTCGGGCGATGCCATCGTGGGCTGGAGAAGGCGCAAACCACCGGGTCCCATGGGCGAGGACACCAGGACCACCGGGGACCCTCCAAAAATTGCCAGTCGCATCTCCCAACAACCTCATTCCCGTAGGCCCAGTGACAAAAGAAACCTGGGACTTCTCATTGGCAACTTCTAGAACCCTTATGGCGAACCTGCGGTGTGCAGGCCGGAAGTCCCAGTGCACCTGCGTACGTGTCGCCCACCTGGCAGCTGATTGTCGGGTGTCTGGCACGCATGGGCGGGAGGCAGGGGGCGCGGGAGACACACACACGCACAGAGACGCAGGAGGCAACGCATGCATGCTCAGATATGTGCCATGCAGGGGATGGTGTGTGCACGTGGGAGGGCATGGGGGGGTTGCGCGCATTGCCTTCTGGGTGCTGGCACAGTTTTCGGCGCGCAAGCTCCCAAAAGGTTAGCCACCGCTGTTCTAGAACATCTCCCAACAGAGGCGGTATTCAGCCGGTTCTGGCAGGTTCTGGCATACCGGTTATGAAAATTTCGGGCAGCGCAAAGCCCGCAGAACCGGTAGGGCGCAATTTGGAATCCTACCACTGGTCTCCAAGTTTCCATCTTGGACCCCAAAGTCCCGTGAAATGAGATCAAGGAAAAAGGCCCCCCTGGGAAATAAAAACCAGGGACCCCCCCGCCAACTTCGTCGCCACCCGAGCCAAGGAAGACATAATACAAGGCGGGCCTCTGTCCCCAGGCCAAAATACATCCTGGGGTGCGCCCAGTGCCCGCTTTTGAGATTTGGGGAGTGGGCGGGGCACGTCTTCTCACCTCCCCATTGGCGCCTCCCTTCTGGGAGATGGAACTGGAAGCTTTGAGAGTTTGGATGTTGACTTGGGGCGGGGCCAAGGCTGGTCACCTTCCAGAAAATTCTCCGGTTTGCCTTTCTCTCTCTCTCCTCACATGCAGGGCAGTTGTCCTTTCGCCAAATGACCGAGCTGGCGGGTTGCATTATGACAGAGTAACAGCACTGTAAGGGGTCTTGGAGGTCCTCTAGCCAACCTCCTGCCCAGACAGGAAACCCTGTCTCATTTCAGACAGATCTCTTCTTAAAATCTTCCAGTGTTGGAGCATTCACAACTTCTCGATCCCTAGGTTGAGCCTCCTCCTCCTCCTCCTCCTCCTCCTCCTCCTCACGTGCTCTTCTCCATCCAGATATCCGGGGCCTGACCAATGCCTCGCAGCTGGAGCAGCTGAACAAGCGATACTGGTACGTCTGCCAGGACTTCATGGAGTTCAAATACCCACACCAGCCAAACCGATTCCCAGATCTGATGATGTGTCTGCCAGAGATCCGGTACATCGCAGGTAAGCAACTCATCCAGGTAAAGAGATCCTCCTTGGGCTGGAAGCTGAGAGGTCTCCCAAAATAGTGTTGTTTTTTTTTCAACCTTGGCACCTCGACGATGTGTGGACTTCACCTCCCAGCCAACTGAGGAGTCCTGGGAGTTGGAAGTCCACCGTCCTAAGAGTTGTCAAGGTTGAAAAACACCGCTCCTAAACCTCAAAGGTCTTCCTAAGCACCCAGGTTGCCCTTCTAGGATGAGCTTGTGGAACATCTCAAGAACGTTGGGCTTGTTTCCATCCAGACCTTCTGGAGACCAATAGCCCACAAGTCCTAAACCAGGCCAGGACATCTTCGTTCTTCCTCCTGCTCGCTCTCAAATTCTCCAGGCTAGAAGGAGGCAGTTTAGTTTCTCTTCCCTCCTCCACATCAAGCCATCTTCCTGGCTATTCAAAGAGCCGCGGTGGCACAGTGGTTAGAGTGCAGCATTGCGGGCGAATTCTGCTGACTCCCGGCTCCGGGCAGTTCAGCAGTTCGATCCTCACTGGCTCAAGGTTGACTCAGCCTTCCGTCCTTCTGAGGTCAGCAAAATGAGGAGCCAGATTATTGGGGGGCAGGAGGCTGACTCTGTAAACTGCTTAGAGAGGGCTGGAAAGCATTGAGAAGCGGTATATATATGTAAATGCTATTGCTATCTTTCTATCTATCTCTCTATTCTATCATCTGTCTATATCATTTATCATCTATCTAATCTATCATCTGTCTATGTCTGTCTGTCTGTCTGTCTATCTATCTATCTATCTATCTATCTATCTATCTATCTATCTATCTATCTATCTATCTATTAGCTGTGGTGATGCAGTGGTCAGAAGGCAGTATTGCTGGTTAATTCTGCCCACTGCCAGCAGTTTGATGCTGACCAGCTCAAGGTCGACTCAGCCTTCCATCCTTCTGAGATGGATAAAATGAGGACCCAGATTTTTATTTTTATTTTATTTATTGGGGGGGGGGGGAAGAGGCTGTAAACTGCTCAGAAGGCTGTAAAACACTGTAAAGCAGTATATATGTCTAAGTGCTATCTGTCTGTCTGTCTGTCCATCTGTCCATCCATCTATTCTCTATCCTGACTATCATCTATCTCATCTACCTATCTACCTATCTATCTGTCTGCCTGTCTATCGTCTGCCTGTCTATCATCTATCATCTATCTATCATCTATCTATCTATCATCCATCCATCTATCTACCTATCTATCTGTCTGCCTGTCTATCATCTACCTACCTATCATCCATCTATCTATCTATCTATCTATCTATCTATCTATCTATCTGTCTATCTATCTATCTATCTATCTATCAGCTGTGGTGGCACAGTGGTGAGAATGCAGTATTGCAGGCTAATTCTGCCCACAGCCCGCAGTTCGATCCTGATAGGCTCAGCCTCCCGTCCTTCCGAGGCGGGTAAAACCAGGACAAATTCTTGGGGGCCACAGGCTGATTCTGTAAACCGCTTAGAGAGGGCGTGTGAAAGCACCGCGAAGCAGCATCTTGAGTCTTTTTAAGGGCTGTGGCTTGTTTGTACCCCAGGAGGGCCGCAGGTCCAGTCGCCCCGATTCACGGTGGGTTTCTTCCCTTGTCAGGAAAAATGGTCAACGTCCCCCTGGAGCAGCTCCCGCTCCTCTTTAAGGCCGTCCTGCACTCCTGCAGAGCCTCCATGAACAAGGAATGAAGCCGGCTGTGACACCCCTGCAACACTCCCACCCCCCCAACACACACACACACACACACACACACACACACACACACACCCCAGCCAAGGAGCAGACACCCTGCACTCTCTCTTCCCGCCACATCTCAACAGCCTCCAGCAGGGCGAGTGGGAAGCCGCCATTTTGCCTCCGAGAATCCTTGGGGACGGAAAGGAACGACGTTCGTTTTCGTCCGGCCGGCTGTTTTTTGTCGTTTTGTGTGTGGGGTGTGGGTGTGTGTGAGGAAGAAAGGAAGGGGGTGATTTTTGTGTTGTTTTATTATTCCCCGCACCCCACTCCTCATTTCATCTTGACTCGTTTTTTTTTCTTTCTTCCTCTCCCTTCTAATATTTATTTCACGACAGAGTTGAATGTATGATATTTTATTTTTTTGTTCAAATCCCTGCACGGTTTTTTTTTTCCTCTCTCCCACCAGCCTCACCGCTTTTGGGGGTGTGTGGGGGGGGGAGAGCATCCCCCTCGCAGTTTACAGAATGTGAAGATATTAGTTAACAGTGTTTTTTTGGGGGGGGCGGGCGGGGAAGGAGGGTAGGCCTTTTTTTTTTGTACTGGGGAGGGGACAGGGAGCGGGGTGGGCTTGGGTTGGGCTGATGACTTAAGACTACCTCAAGGAGAAGGTGCTGCCTGCCAGTTCTGCAGCTCACAACTCAAAAGGGCACATCCCCTTGTCCCCACGCCCCCCCAAAACATCAAACCCAGCCGGAGCCTGCACCCCTAGAGAAGTGCCAAGCCACCGGACAGGGAATGGGAGCAGCTGCCTCCTCCCTTCCCTCCGTCCAAAGCCTGCAAAGACCTCCTGTCCTCCCTACACGCACACACACACACTCCCCATTCACTGCCACACAACCCCCAGAATCTTCACACAGACACACAATCACTTGGGGTCCCCTGCCAACCCATCCTCAGGAAAAGCCGGACAGGTATCGGGGCGGTCGATCCTGGCATCCTCCAGCGTTACCCCGAAGGTGTTTTTCCAAGGGGCAAATGGACTTTTTCTTCGTTTTCGACAACAGGGAGAATTATTCCGTAGCTCGGGGTCGACAGGAGGTGGTCCTTGCGGGTTGCTCTCTTGAGCGCGGTGGTTTTCTTACGGGCATTTCGTGGCCCAGCTAAGTAACGTTGTCAGTGTTGGAGCGAGATTGGGAGGAGGAGGAGGAGGACCTGCTTGGTGATCTCTGAGCTGGCTTGTTTTCCTGCAGACGTTTCATGACCCATCTAGGTAACATCACCAGTGCTAGTACTGTAGTAGACTAGTAGATGAGCACTGATGTTACCTAGTTAAGGTGATGAAACATCTACAAGAAAACAAGTTCAAAGAGCACCAAGGACCCCCCACAGTCCTCCTCTTCCTCCTCCTCCTCCTCCCAAACCCCATCCCCTTCTAGAACTGAGGATGTTACTTAGCTGGGTCATGAAACGTCTGCGAGAAAACCACCAAGCTCAGAGAGCACCAAGGACCTCCCTCATTTCTGGTTTTCTTTTGAAGGCATTTCGCTTCTCACCCAAGGAGCTTCTTCAGGGTTCTTCCCAAAAACAAAAAACAAGGGAGTTTAGTTGCCTCTTGGAAAAAAAACCACCTTTGGGCTAATCTTGACCTGGAGGACTGAGGAAATTCCGTGGACATTGAGCATTCCAGGGGTTTAACTGATGTTGGTGCTTCTTCAGTGCTGGGGAGGCACGGAGGGTCCCCGGAATTTTCTCAGCTATTTCAGGCCCAGGCGCCACCGTTCCCTGTCTTGGTCCCCGTACTCCCCCAATAGCACGGAGATGTAAACGTGGCTCAGTCCACGCCATCTCTTCTCCCCATATATGTGGCTCAATCCGGTCCAAGGCTTGGCCTATCTCTCGGCGAGCGGCTGGGGCTGAGACCCATTCAGGAATTTTCACTCGCCCCACCTGGGGGCCAGGAAATAATTTGAAGGCTTCACTCCCCCCAACCCCGCCCAAAAAAACCTTGCATTTTCCCCCACCCCACCCCAAACCTGGTTGGTTGCCCATTCCTCCTCCTCTTGCATTTGAGTAGGGGGGCTGAGGTGGTTAACCTGCCCCTGGGATGGCGCCTCCGGCTGGGCTTGGCTCATCTTCCCCATTGGACGGTTGCTGACAGATGCCAGCAAGGCAGAACGGGTAAAAATCCGTGGCTGGGATTGGACGGGTCTTTCCGTGGCTCCGCGGCTCTCCAAAATTGGGCTAGCGGTGCCCGGAGCTACCCGTTACCTCAGCCACATCGTCGTTGTGTTGTTGTTTTTTTTTCTCTCAGGAAAATCCCCTCCTCCCTTTGAAACCAGAAAATACCTCAACGGGCAGCGGAGCGATCCAAACGGGTCGCCTGTCCTCAAGTCACTTCCTCGGTTACGGTTTTCTTTTCTTTTTTCCCACAAAAGAGCTGTCCACACCGCGAGGCCAACCGTTACCTTTTTGGCTGGCTGGGTGGGGATCGCTCGTGAGCCGTCCTCCGCGGCAACACCCCCCCCCCATAAAAATCAGAGTGGTCGGAACCGAGCCCCAACCCAACCTTGGGGTTCCGAGATGGGAATTTGAACCCACCTTCCCCCCGTGGCCAGAAATGGCCCATGGCTGGCATCCTTCGTGTCGCGCCCTTCTGCCCCACGGGGTAGGAAATAGGGGGTCGAAAAGGAGTGGGTGCCAGGAGCCAGGAAGTATAACGGTGCGGCCTTGCCGGTAACGCCACTGTCGTCCCAAGCCCGCGGACGAGCTCGGAGGAAAGCTGTCAAACAGGGTAAAACTGAATGTAAGGTGTTGACGAACTCAGGTATTATGTGAAGATAAGTAGGAATGTAGTTTAGGTAACGTAGAACGATTCTAGGTCGGTTCCCACCCCCATAGATGGATTTGGTTTGAAGGACTCAATTCTCTTTTTTTTTCTATTCCTTTTTCTCGCCAAAGCGGCTGGTGTGTATCTGCCGCGGGGCAGGAGAGAACAGAAGCCCGTGGTAATTGGGGATTATTATTTTTTTTGCTCTTGGTGGGGGTTGTTTCACGAGCAAACAATCCCCCTGCCCTCTTCCCCCCCCCCCCCCAGTTTTTATCCTGCCCCATCAGCCACTTCTGTATCATTGCCAAAAAAACCCCCCACAAATTTCTTCCAAAATCCCAGGAATGCTGGCTCAACATTCCACTTCTAAGTCCTTCAAACCAACTTTTTTTCCCCCCCTCTTTCGTCATCGTTTGATCATCGCTGTTTTCTAAACTTGAGCTGCCCCCTCCCCGTTTTTTTTTTTGTTTTAAACCCTCCTTATTTTATTTCTAAAAGCAGAAAAGCAGCCCTCTCTTCTCACTCCCCCACCCCTCCAAAAAAAATTTACCCCGCCTTTTCCCTCCCTTTCTCGCTCTTCTCCCCTCCCTTCAACCCATCGGCGCCCCGAGTCTGCGGGGAGAGTCCCTGGATCGGCCTTCGAGGCGGGAGATGGAAGGAGGGGGAAAAAAATAAAAAGGGGACTACTAGATTGAGAAGTAGATGGGCTTTTGCTTTTTTTTTTTTTTTTGAAATCAAGAAAAATGTGCGGTATCGTAGACGACAATGCTTGCCGGAGGCTCCTTCGGCGGCGCTGGCGGCCATCAGCGGAGGGGTTCTAGGTTCTCCAGGTGGGTCACCTTGGCGGTGCCCTCCGAAACTCAGGGATGTGTATTTAAATAGAACCCAGAGCCCACCCTGCTCTTACCGCCACCCCTCAACCCCCGCCCCAGGTCTCCTTCCTGGACTCTTGGCCATGGTTTCAGGGCGCCTAAAGCCGTAAATTTATCAGCTTTCAGCTGGGGAACTTCCAAGCCCCAGAATTCTGGGACTTGAAGTCCACACCTTTAAAGTTGCGACAGGTTGAGAAAACCTGGCCTTGAGATCAAAGCTCCCTCCATCACCATTCCATCCTGGGCAAGAAACCTCGAATATCGACCTTCCCGTGGGCACCCATAAACCTCAACTGAGCCGCCTTCGGGATAGGATGTCTTATTATAAATTTGTTTTGTTGTTGTTGTTGTTTTTTTTAAAAAAAATTTTTTTTTTCCTTTCCTGTGTATGAAAAAAAGAAATATGTCTTGTTCTAGTTGTTAACATTATTGACTCAATTTCCATAACAAAACTACCTCTTGTGTGACATCCTGCTGAAGGGTCTCCAAAGGGATTATATAAGGGAAGGGAAGGCAGGAAGGAAGTTAGATTTTAAAAATCCACCTTTTTTTAAAAAAACTGCTAACCAGAAGAAATATTTGGCCAAGGTCTGTGTCCATCTCTCCCACTTTTCCATCAGAGTTCAGGGTTTTCTTTTATACACACAACGTTTTATTGAGATCATCACAATAGAAAATGCAAATGAATTAGCAGAGAAATGGGGAAGGAGGAAAAAGAAGCATCGATTTCCACTTTTGTCTGTATTTAAACGAAGCCTCCATCATCAACACCGGTGTTCCTTTTTTTAAAAAAATTTCACGCCCATTTTTTTTTTCATCGTGTCTTAATCTCTCTGGTCAAAATTTCCAGAGCTGAAATCAATAGCAGTGAGGGCAACGGACTCATTGCGTTCTGAATTTCACACGTCTTGAGTCTTCTTTTAGTAACAATATGCGCTTGGTACAACGTGCCATAACCCTCTTGGATAATTCCTCCCTCCCTCCAGAATCCGTAACTTCCAAAAGTTTAAACATAAAAGACCCCATTTAAATTGTCAAATGCTTTTTCTGCACCCCCCCAAAATATTAAAATGGTTTGTTTCTGATTACGGTATCATTAAGTCTTCAAACCCTTCTCACGTTCTCCCTCCGTTGTCTTTTTCTAAGCAAAAGCTAAGTTCGACTTCACGGATAAAGCAGCTCCTTGGCTCTTTCGGATAACATTGCATTTAAAAAGTTTATAGTCCTCGTTTAAATAATGAAATTGGTCCGCAATTTCCTCAACCAGAAAAAAAAAAGCATATTGGCTTTCCTTCGGCCATAAAGCGATAATGGCTTCGTTCCGAGATGGATTACATCTTTCAATGTAAAAGTTCA